AAGTTCTAGGGGATCTGACACCTCACATGGAGAAATATGCAAACAAAACACCAATGCACGTAAAATAAAAAGAAATAAATCATTTTTAAAAAGTAGAAATTTAGAAGATTCAGATAGCAAGATGTATCTGTATGTTATATAATGCCTTAAACTTACTAACCCCTTTTCTGTTTCCTATAGGAAAAAAGCAATTCTTTATTCAAAACTTCCACCTCACTCTTATTCCATTGCTCATATTCATTATTCCTCTCTCAAGATGTGCTGCGGTTTAGCCCTCACTACAGTACATCTATTACATGCTAACCTATAATTCTGAGAAAAAAATTGCTTCTAACACATATACACTGACATGGGTCTAGTATTCAGAATACATAAAGAACTCTTACAATTCAACAGTAATAACCAAACTGCAAAGGGGATAAGAGATGTAAACAAGCATTTTTCCAAGGACAGAAAAATGGCTCATAAACACAATAAAGGATATCTAATATCATTAGTCATTAACTCAAAGCAAAAAAAAAAAAACCATAATGGCATACCAATTCATACTCATTAAGCTATTATTTAAAAAAAAAATCAAAGAGAAAAAAGATAAAAAAAATGTTGCCATGCACTTAGAAAAATATTGGTACATTTAAACAATGATGGTAGGAATGTAAAATGCCCCAAACACTTTGGAAAATGGTAAACTCAAAAAGTTAAAACATAGTCATCACATGAGGTATCAAGTCCATCACATATATATATATATATATATGTATATATATATATATATCTCAAGAAAACCAAAAATGCATATCCACACAAATACTTGTGCACAAATTCTCATAGTATCATTACTGTAATAAAAAAAGAAACATGCTAAATGTCCACCAACTGATGGATGTACACACAAAATGTCCATATAATGTAATATTGTTTAGCTATAAAAAGAATAAAACAGTGGATGCATGTTTCAACCTGGATGAAACTTAAGAACATTATGCTATATGGAAGTTTGATACAAAGAGCCACAGAGTACATGATTTCATCTGTAAGAAACATATAACCAGACAAACCCACAGAAACAGAAAGCAGATTAGAAGCTGCCAAGAGCTAAGTCACAGAAGAGCTGGGATGACTGCCTATGAGCAAGGGGTTACTTTTATGGAAATGAAAATGTCATTAATGATGACATGTGCACAACTTTGTGAATTAGAAAGAAGAAACTGTACATTTTAAAAAGGTAAATTCTGCCAGGCATGGTAGTATACACTAGTAAACCTAGATCTCTAGAGATAGAGGCAGGAAGATTAGGACTTCCAGGCCAGTATTGGCTACAAAGTAAGTTTGAGACCAGCCTAGACTATATAAAATCCTGCCTCAAAAAAAAATTATTTTATTACATGTGAATTCTATTTCAATTTAAAATTTCAGGATTTGGACTTGGGATACCTCCCTATATACAAGAAACAGTCAACAAAATGAAAATGAGCTAATGGTTTATAATGGAATTATGCCCAAAGCAATGTGCAAGTACACAGAACAGTTTTTTAAAAAGAGGGAGGGAGAGGGTTACTTGCAGACAAATTAAAAGATAGTATGTAGAGGAATGATGTTAAGTGTTTAACTTGAAAGTAAATCGTCTGGTGTGGTAGCACACACCTGTAATCACAGCTCTTGGAAAATGGAAGCATGAGAATCAGATATTTAAGGTTAGCCTTGGCTATAAAATAAGTTTGAACCAGTCTAGGTTACATGAGAACCTGTCTCAAAACAAAAATAACAGCTTTGGGGCTGGGTGTGGCCAGTCACGCCTTTACTCCCTCCCAGCACCTGCCAGTCAGAGGCAGGTGGATCTCTATGAGTTTGAGGCCAGCCTGGTCTACATACAAAGTAAGACAAAGTAAGTTTCAGGACAGTCAAACCGATATAGCGAAACGCTGTCTCAAAACAAAACAAAAAAGACAGGGTCTCACTATGTAGACCAGACAGACTGGCCTCAATCAGAGAGATCCATTTGACCACCTCTGCCTTCCAAGTGCTGAGATTAAAGGCATGTACCAGCACAGCCAGCTAAATTCCACTTAACATTTAAAAATTCCTTCACAAACATATGCCCCCTCCCATTATCATGGACTGCAGCTGAAACTGACAACTTGTCCTTTCCCGTTTTGCTCACGTTTCTCAGGAATACAATACCATTTCCACACAGATCAAAATGAAACTAAGAATGTCACCTTCATGAAGCCCTTCTACCAAAGATTTCTTTCACTTCTACAATACCCCATACACCACTTATCTGCACCATTATACAACAAATTTTGACTCGCACAATAAACGGTATATACTTTCTGTAAGACTAAAAGTTCTAATAAGACCCAATATTTGTAAGCTAACTTAAATTAAAAAACAACCCCCCCAAACAAACAAACAAAAAACTGAAATTTAGAGCAGTCACCTCAATTTTTTGTACACAATGTCTGATTTTTTTTTTTAAAGGGAGTTTGCTTAATAAAATTTTAAGTGAATTAATCACTTAGCTATACCTTTCATTCCTAGTAATAACACTAAATTCCAGTTGCTAAAGGACTGGATAGGTTACTCACTCAGAAGTGTCCTCCCCATAAACATGAAATAATCAATCCTTTTTTTGTTTGTTTTGGTTTTGGTTTTTCAAGATAGGGTTTCTCTGTGTAGCTTTGGTTGTCCTAGAGCTCGATCTGTAGACTAGGCTGGCCTCGAACTCTCAGAGATCAGCCTGCCTCTGCCTCCTGAGTGCTGGGATTAAAGGTGTGCACAACCAACATCCAGCCAAAATAATCAATTCTTACTATTAGAAAATTCAATGCCATCCTGTGTAACTCACTAAGGTTAAAAACAAGCATTATCAAATACTTCTAGAATTGTTGTAGTTATAAACACATTTGACAGAATCAGTTACCTGAAATACCTTTCCATGAGTCAAAGAGACTTATTCCGTCCTTTTTTAGCCAAACTAGATGCAGCTAAAATCATACTTTTTCCCACACTAGGGAGAACTTGAGACTACAGTAAGGTTAAGGGGCAGCCAAGCACTTCGCAGCATCACATCAGACAGAGACCAGTCAGGCCTGGAACCTGGACGGACCCCCTCAACAGCCACCAAAGTAAACCAACACCCATGCCTGAAATAACTGTCTAAACCCAGTAGAGGTTCTGTTCCAATCCAAAGTGCCCAAGTAGGTTTAGGTTTTGGAACAGCCGGGATTTCAGGTTTTCAGATTATGGATGCACAGTCAGTAGAATCCATGTAAACATTCCAAAATCTGAAAAACAGAAATTTCAACCACTTCTGACCTCAAGCACTTTGAAGAGCTACTCAATCTGTATTAACTCTGATTCAATTAAACTTCTTGTAACACGTGTTTTCCAGACACCACTGACATCTTACTCCCTCCTTGCCAAAAATAGTAAAAAGGAAAATTAAATTCTGGAAATGACCGAAACTTCATTTTTAACCCAAAGATTGCTATAAATTAAGTTTCACTTAGAAACCAAACACCCCTAAAATACTAAGACAATCAACCAAGGGAATAAGATATAAGATTAACTGTGCAGAACCAATTGTATCTGATTATTATTGTATCTGATAGTAAACAGTACAGCTTCTTGGGACTATATATAGGCTGCTGCCAGCCATTTAAATATAAATTTCATACCACCACTTAAAACGCTCCCCTTGGAGAACAAAATTACACATAACAAAAGAGAAAATATGATGTCCAACTGACTTGAGCTGAGCAACTATGGACAAGTATTAGTATTTAAAATATCATCTGTACTGTGGACTCTAGAGCTCCTGAACTTCACCTAAAAAGTGGTGATCTGGAGTTCCATGTATAAGCTGAGAAAACTGATCACCAAGTCAAAACATTCTCCAAAGAACTGATCTGATTTTGATATTCAAGTAAGGTGTTTACAGGAGGATTTTATTAGGCACAAAACAACATTTTGTCCAGGAGCAGTTATCAACCACTAATGCAATTATGGATAAGAAAGGGCAGTTAATCGGAACACAAGAATTTTAAATCGAACAGCATAGGATAACTCACTGAAATAATTTAAACAAAAGCTGTATCAACACAAGAAATCTACAGGGTCGCATTTCTCAATTCCATAGTCTTTTAAACACTTTAGCCCTCCAGAACACAATCAATCACTAAGAGTGAAACTAGCACTACAAAATTTAAAGATCCTTCTAAGTAATTTCAGTCTTTTTATATTAACCAAGTATTCTGAAAACGCCTCAATTTGATGTTTCTCAAAACCTGCCATGTGCACTTTTACATGACGATGACAAATAACATAATTCCTGAGTGCTTAAGCCCATGTCACATTGTAGCAAATGTGTGACAGGTCGTGAAAAAATAAAACAAGCAGAAGCAGAACAGAGCAAAGGCTAGCTGGAGCCAAGAAGCCTGTTTCCTGGAGGGCAGAGCAGGGCTTGGACTGGCAAGAGGGAAATTTTAACTTGTATTCACAAGGTAAATCAACCCCCCCCCCAAAAAAAAACACCCAAACTGCTCAGATCGTTTTTATTTAACGAAGTATACATTTTTAAAAAATATACTTTTAACCTTTGGACAATCAAAGTGGTATCCTAAGACACCTAACCGCATTGTTGCCAGCTAATTACATTTGATGTTAAGTCCTTAATAAAGTCACATTGCAATTCTCATAATGAAATACAGCAAAAATGGCAGTGTTTATTTTCTCTAAGTAAAGGTTGCCTTATTTTTCACTTGTTTAAAGTTTTAGTTTTGCTTTTTCATCTATTATAGAAAAACATCCTTGTGGGACATTGTAAAGGGCAGACCCTCCTGTCAAGCCAGAAGGCTCAAACACAAAGACTGAGCTAACCAAGTGCTGTAATTCTTCCAAATTGAGCCTCTCCACACCCCCCCACCCTTCCCCCCAACAGATATGTCTATTAAATCAGTGTCTGTTCTCCCCCTCGCACAACAAAGAGAACTTCTCACCGCATGAAATTGCCGCTGAATGGACACCAGAAAGCAGGATTTGCATAATTCCTTCCAACGAAACCCCGTCGGGAAGGAGGGGACCAAGGGGCCCAAGCGGACGGACAGAATCTCCCAGGTTCTGCTGAGGAAGATCTGACTCCCAAGAACATGCCCCACCGAGATGGGGGGCTGAAATTCCGGGCCTCCCCGAGGACTGGGCGTGGGGGACAGAGGACGACGACGAGAGGGCATTTCCCCACACACCGGCAGCACCGAAGCCGAGACCGGGAAATAACAATGCTGGGGACATTAGAGTCAAACACAAGAATGGACAGAGGCTAGGGGGCGGCGGGTGGAGCAGACACCACACGGGCCACTTACTTTTTGGAGGGGGGTTAAATGTATGAGTTAAGCCCTTATGGTCCCGTCGGCCGCCGCACAGAGAGAAACGGGACCTTGGGAGAGAAAAACAAGACAAAACACACAGTGTGAGAGGTGCGGCCCCGCCGCCCGGCCCCTCCCGGGCTACCCCGGTCCACGCTCGCTCGCTCCCTCCCTCCC